CTCAACATTCTTAAGCAAAGAGGTATATAAAAAAAGAAGATACATCCGTGGAAAAAGTATGTAGATTGATGATCATTGTTTGTTTTTGTGTAGGAATCGAACCGAATGATGGGTTTTACGGCTTGGATGAGATCAAGAACGCGATCAAGTGCGCGATTGGATTTGCACCGGGTATCGAATGCAATGAAGATGTAGAAGGGAAGAAGCAGCTTTTCCAGATTTATATATGTCTTGATAATCACGCGAAAGAGTTTGTTGAATGCCCGTATGTTCCGGATAAATCATGTGCTTCCAAGATTAAGTTTCCAAAGTTCCCAAAGAAAGATTCTCTCCGTGAGTCTCTAAGTGAGTGCGAGTGTTTTGTCTTCTGTTTCAACTACCTAGTAAACAAGAGAGTGCGAGTGTTTTGTGTTTCAATAATGAAGGTGAGAAGCTTCTATAACTATGACGAGTCTCTTTGAATAGAGAGTTTAAACCTGTTATGGCAAGAACCCGTGTTGCGTAATTGCAATTTCAAAGGCTTGCATTCTTTCGCCTCTAGCATTTCCATTTCGATCATAAGATGATATCTCGTTAATCTTGAGGTCAATAGAAGCCTTGATGAGCTCCTCTCCAACCCGTTTCGCTGCTTCCTGAAATACATTAACATGAAAGGAGAGCACTATTGGTGGACATAATCTATTCAATCCAAAAGACAAAACAATCGTTCAAGATCGAGTTTCTTCAACCCTGAATTCTTACCATACTATAGAAATGTTACTTCAAATATCACAAGAAACAACATCACCTCTAAGAAACGCAACCATTTTCTTAAACAAGACAGCAAATTTGTGAACTGATGACGAATGAAGCAAAGACAATGCCAGTAGCCACCAATACTATCAATCGCGCAGATATCTAAGCATCGACGTAACTCTACTTAACCGGCTAAACTCTTATAAAGTTTCAAACTGTTTTAGGTAGCATAACAGATTAAACTTTTCAGGTGGCGAAACTTACAACGACGGTACATGGAGGATCTCCACGAATGGACTTCTGCAATGTACTACCGTAGAACAAACACTTTTTGTTAAAGTCATCAACCAACATAGCATAGAGTTGCTTGTCTGAACAGAACACCGAAAGTCTTGGTTTTGTTTGTGTTCCATTAAACTGTCCCAAACCAAAAGAAACTTTAAACAATGTTTGCAAAAGATTCAAACTTTCTGTGTATCATATAAATCAACGGAAAGTCACCTTCTTCCTGCTCCTCCGGTTCCTGGTTTTCGGACTCTCAACTCGAGAATTCCCTCTTGCTTCAATCACAAACGGCTTTACGGACATATCTGATAAAATCGTGACCCAAGTAAGCGAGTCAAGAGGACAATAACATGGAAGAACAAGAACAGAGTAAGAAGGATTATACTACCACTTACTTGTTATCCGAATTGGAAAGAGGACACAAGGTTTCAGACGAGTTCCAAGAATGTCGGAGACTCTGAACTGAACAGAAGAGAGCGAATTCAAAGCAGCCATGCGAGATACCATTCGAAAAGCATCGAAAGTCGAAATATTTCACCGAATACAAGGACAGAACTTCTCAGCGGAATTTTATCAAACACTTTCTGTGCAGAAATGAAAACTCTAGAGTTGTAAAATTCCTTTTTTTACAAAATGGGAAAACTAATAAAAATGTTGGATTAGCCTTTGGAATCCGAATCAACATCGTAGTAAAATATCTTTGTTTCGTTTTTGTCCTCTATTGAAAAGAGGATAAGGATTTGAATAGTAAATATTAAAAATTAAATATTTTTTTATAAATGCAAAAATAAAGTCTTTTAGCGCGTCAATGATTCTAGAGTCTTCTGTAACTTTCTTTTATCTCCTTTTTCCCAGTTTCTCCATGAACTACTGTAAAACCTTTCCCTAACATATATAAAAATCGCTGATCTTTCCTTCGCCCACTTTTATCAAATCTTTCAA